AATTATTTCTTTGCCATACTCCTTGGTTACTATTCCTGCTAATCTTTTTGCTTTTTCTCTGTTCCACATACTTTATTATTTATATTTTCTATTATCTAAAGTGATCTCGACTTTTTTGGAAAATTCCCTATGATTTTTCCTGGTTGCCAGTAAACTATCCGGTTTTGGTCTTGCATATAATATCTCTACTATGTAGCACGTAACATGTGTTTTTTCTATGATGCATTTTTGTTTACCTTAATTGCACATGTTTGTGTTACATCAAGTGATCTACATATACTTCATTCGTTATCCTTATCCGTTTTAGTTAGTGTTTGTAGTTTGACATAAATTTTTCGAGCTTATCTTTAAATATTGACTAAGTCGACTAAGTTGAATCGATTACTAGTTTTCATAAATTCGGAACACTTGAAAAAAAAATCTCTTTCGATCCCGTCCTAAGAATTACCTAACTTTTCGGAAACTACACCGCTGTTCTTATAACTTCTATCCAGAGACAGCGACGTAGTTTCAAAAGTTATGTGGTTTTTAGGACTGGATCGAGGAGATTTCGGTAAAGAGCTTTTTTTAAAAGTGTTAGAATTTACGAAAGGACCGAGCAGTGTTGGAAATCAAATGTTCTCACGTTCTCATAAAAACATTAATTTGATTAAGCTTGATATATAATTTTTATGGGAACACTTTATAATGAGAACATTACTTTTTAATAAATAGTTTTCATTAGAGCATTAAAATCATTTCAGATTTCCAACACTGGGTCAGAGCGATGCTTCGGGTATGTGATTTTAATTTTTAATTTAATTCAAAGTTAGGTTGCTTGAACCCAAATTGGGTTTCTTGAACCTGAATTAGGTTTATTCTGGGTTATTATTTAGATGTACATCAGGTTTGGTTGACAGTCTATTATTTGCAACTGGCATAATCTGGCACAAAATTCATGAATTTGAGCTCTAATTATTGTTCGGTTCCGAACTTTCAATTTGGTTCTGCAGAGCATTAGTTAGCAGTCACTTAGCCAATGTTATAAGTATTACATACTGTCAAACCACATATATGCATAATGATAAAGATTTTTTGAGGTAATTTCTTGTCAGCGACTCAGCTACATCAGGAAACTTAATAAACAGATTAGTATCGATTATAAACAAATAATCGATTGTATTAAATCGATTAACATCGGTAGGGTAAGTATACTCAAATAAAAAAGCATAATTGACTGAAATCGATTAAAAGAAATAAATCGAATTAAAACATTAAATTATAATCGGTACTATTCTAATTTGTAATTATTCTTAAATGATCAAAGTGATTGTATTCGCTTGAAATCTTTAGATTATAATCGATTATAATCGGCCTTCAAAATTTCCTGATGTAGTTGATTTAAGGCTATTAATACAAAAAGTAATATCATACATTCTTAATTCCATGTCTTATTAATAAAAATAGACAATTCTTAAATTCCACGCTTTATTATACTGTACAAAAAAATAAATAATCATACATTCTTAGATTCCATGCTTATTTTCTTATTTAATCTCTCAGTTTCATTAGTTTCACCACTTTCAAATGAGAAGTTTCTGTTTCTTTTCTGGTTCCTGTTTGTTCCTGATCTTCTCTATTTAGTGAAAATATAGTAGTGCTTGGTTGGACGTTCCGAGGAGGATGTGTGAAAGCTTGTTCTACTGCTTCTACGTATCAATAGACATTTATTTAAATTAAAATGATCTGTAAGTGATTAGCTAGCAGAATCAGTTAATATAATTAATAGCATATATAAAATCAACCTACACGAAAGCTTAATAAAAATACGTATAAGGAGTGTCCATTACTGTATTAAGGGAATTTCCGCACGATCAAGATGGAAGTACCTTGGAATCCCATTTGTATCTTTGCCATAACATTCAAATGTATAATCTCACCCGAAACTTGGACTCCTACAATATTGAACCAATTACTTTTTGGCCTACATGATTCGTTAATATAGGCCAAACCGTCAAATGTTTCCCTTCATAGTTTTATACTATCAACAACTTTTTTGAATTAGAACAAACGATCGAGAGCATTCAGCGTAAGCAATTTTAAAAGTTTCTTAGCATATTTAATAAATGCCATAAGACAGGCTTTTTTCCAATTCCCCCATCGAGCCTTGCTTGCTTTGACGCTCAGCTGAGCTCGTTCAGATTGGCACGAAGTAAAGGCATTACCACATCTGTAGCATATGTACCCTCATTTTGTTCATTGCGTGCCATACTGCTTGAAAATGCTACACTTCTCCGCTAAATAAAACATAAAGGATTATTCAAAATATTCACATGGTTAAAAAGCTTAGCTAACTACTTATAGTGTATCTAATATATGTTCCAATTTCATTTTCTACTCATAAAGAATTATGTGTAATGCCTCTAAGCTCATCCGAAACTTTAGACATATTAAAATTATTTGTAAAAGTTTCACTTATGTTGTTAACAGATGCGGGATCATGTCCTCGCCCGGTCCTTATAGCAAATAAAATTTATTCATATTCTCATTATATAGTAATTCAACTAGTAATAATCAAAACATATAACAAAAATTAATGTACGTTTTTGTCTCTGCTTCAAATTCTCTACTCAAATTGAATCGTCACTTTAGGTCCATACTTGCCAACGGATCCTTCCATTTAAGACTAAGAGGATCATTATTCTCTATACTTTCTTGAGAGCATTATAGAGAAGTACCAATTTTTGACTGTAATACACTCAAATTTTGTTCTATCTTTTCTTGAGTATGGTTCTTTTGCTGTTTAACACTTTTAAGCCCATAACATCTTATATCCGTTCTACGTCTACGGCGATTCCATGATAATCGATAATCGATAATCGAATCTATAATTTTTTCAAGAGTTATAGTCGATTTTTTTGAAACGATTCAGATTTTAGGATCGATTCTAGAAATAAAAATCGATTCTAAAAGCCTTTTTTATCAAAATTTGCAAAATAAAACCTTGGTTTCTACTTTTGACCGCTCATATATTAATATTTTTTTATTAACATTTCAGTAATTTTTAACACTATCCTAAATTTGTGATATTGTAAGTGATAGACTATTTAATATGAGTCAAATCATTTGCTTAAAAGATATGTACTGTACAATTCGATTAGTAAAAATATACCGTACCAACTTTAAAAAGAGATGTATTTTAAGGTGAGAAGATGGGTTTGACGTGATAATTATATTAGTTTTATATTAGTTTTATTGATTTAAGGTTTGTTTTAATATATGCGTCATTTAGTTGATGTAAATAAGTTTGGGCCCAATTCCAAAACTTTACTGTAATGATAAGAAATCGCGCAACCGGGTGATAATCAAGTAGGTCATCTTTAAAACATAGTTTAATATATCAAATATAAAAAAAAAAACACATTACTAGATTATTAAATATAATTGATAGCCAGAATTATTTAGAGATGTATATTTTTGACACATCATAGTTATTGATTCAGAATAAATTCAAAAATCAAATCCCTTAAATAGTTATAATATTTAATAATATATTATTGTATCATTTAACAATTTTTTTAATCACCAGTAGATACTTATTGAAATATCTACTCTTTCTGAATTTGAAATATTTCATATTCCTTTAAGCAAAAATCTGATCGGCCATGTTCTTTTCCAATTGCTTTTTCGTATGAAATATGATAACAATAACAATTCATCTCCTGATTAAAATTATTTCTCATACAAATATCATAACCACCACCAAAACTTGGACCATATGAAGGATAACAAAAAATTGCATTTTGTGAATGTGTATCTTTTACACGACTTAAAATAGAGGATTGAATATTACCATTTTTCAATGAAAAAATAAAGCTATCATTGCATCTCACAAAAGAATAAATTGATTTATCCCATGCAATAGGATTATAACCACCAAGAATTTCATCAGTTCCTTTAACCTTCATTACTACAATAGTGTTTGTTTGCTTGTCACATAAATTCCAAAATGATTGTGCATCAAAACCATCTCTTGTTCCACGAAGAAGCAGTTTAAACTTATATGGATTATTCGTTACTGAATATGCATCAGTTTTCTTATCAACCCATGATGAAATTTCAGCTGCATGAATATCATTGATTACTTTTGAAGGAAATGGTTCGGTTACTCTAGGTGGTAACGTTGATGTTAAAATTTTGCGAGGTGGAAGAATTATTGATGTTATTTTCCTATCCGGAGTAATAAATCTTATTAATATATCATCCCAAATATTTTCTTCAAGAATTTCTTTATATTGTTTCACTTTATCAATAATATCATTATTTGGTATTTGAAAATAACGAATAAGAGGCAAACAATTCTGTATAGTAGTCTTTAATGTTTGAAAATTTTCGCGAGACCATTTTTTAGGATCGGGTGATAAATCTGTACTTTGAGCAATTCCCCATCTGATAACATGTTCCCAAATCCTTCCTTCTTCCATTTGTAAATCATCTCGTTTAATAAGTGAGATTAATGCATTTTCTGGAAGAGAGCCGAAATTTTCTGATTCAAAAATCTTATCTGGATACTTTATCAAAATGTCGTTGCTCCATTTTTGTAATTCTTGAAGATTTTCATTTTGGAAACTTTTATGATAAATACGTTCAAAATGTAAACGAAGCCAATGAGCATTTTCTTTAATTAACTGAACTTCAAGATGTTTTGCTAATTCATCAAGAAGAAACTCGGAGGCAACCAGCATGAGTTCAA